CTGAGGAGCCCTTATGAATGGGAGAGCGGGTTTTTTTTCCCTTTTAAAACTGAGAGCCGAGATTCCTGGCGTGCTGTCCTTCATTCCTGAGATAATTTCGCCGCTTGCATAGCGGGCCGGTGGAATGCATCCTGCCTGGTTGGGGGGCCCAAGCAGGTTAATGCCCTGGGTGGGGAACAGCAGTTCACCAAAGGTAATAACCTCCTTAAATTTCTGAACCTTGAGACTCTTTTTCTGTTGAGCGTGTGTGTGTGTGTTTGTGCAAAGCAGCCCCGGACAGAAATAGCCCCTGAGTCCCTTCTGATGCAGAGTTCTTCGTTTTCCTGCAGTCTTCTACCAATTGCCTTTTTCTTCCCCACTCTAATGAGAAAGCAGCAATTCCCAGACAGCAGCATCCTATAGCACACTGCTGTGCTGCAGGAGGACCGGACCGTGAATGTGCCATGAGGAAGGCTAAATGCCTCTAATTAAGGCACGGAATTAATTCCAGCCCCCTCTCACTGAGTGGGCTGGTCACACTCACTGCATCTCTGCATGGAGTCCCTCTTTGGCCCTCCTTTCCCTGTCCTGGGGGTGGGGGGGGCTCATTTTGCAGCAGGGCTGCATCTCCTGTGATAAGAAAGATCCAGTGTGATTCCTCATGCAGAGTCACAACAGAAGAACTCCACAGGGGAAGGGAGCGGTGCGGGTTAGTAGTAGATGCTCCCTCTAAGCAGCGGAGCGTTGTGAGCAAAAATGCTACTTTGTGAGCTACTGACGTTAAAGTTGTGAGTGAGCCATTTGGCTACTGCATAAATTAGTTTGCTCTGAAGCCATCCTTCCCGAGCGAAGACAAAAATGTGTGAGCCGGAGGCTAAAAAATTGTGAGCTAGCTCCCGCTGACTCAGCTTAGAGGGAACGCTGGTGGTAGAGCATGTGCTTGGCATGCAGAAGTTCCCACGTTCAGTCCTCCGGCATCTCCGGCTAAAAGGACCAGGTAGTGGCCGGTGCTGTGAAAGACCTCACCCCAAGACCCTGGAGAGCTGCTGCCAGTCCGAGTAGAAAATACTGACCTCAATGGACCCAAAGGTCTGATTCAGTATCAGGCAGCTCTGTGGGTTAGCCTCTCCTTGGCATGCAGAAAGTTCCAGGTTCAATCCCCAGCGTCTCCGGATAAAAGGCCCAGGGGACTCTTAAGAACGCCTATCTTTCCAGGAGGAAAATGGACCTATCAAGGTTATGTGATATTACAGCCGGGGGCGAGGGGGGCGGTGTCTTTAAAAGATAAGTTTCGGTTAGAAGCAACAAGTTCCACTGAAATCCCTTGGTTTGAATACTTCCAGTTTAAGACATTTGATCTGCAGCCCTCAAATGCAACGTATTTTTAAGAGGAGATAACACAGATTTCAACAAAATCCTACAACAGAGAAATAGACCAGAGAAAGGACTTATCTCCATTTTATGTAGGCTGTTAAGCCAACAGCTCCGGTCTAGAAAATCTTACAGATTAAGATGGCAACAAAACTGCAACATTAATCTCTCGGAGGCTCAATGGACTAAAATATGGGCCTCTAAATCCCACCTTATGAATGCATTACACGTAAAACTGCAACTTTGCAAAGTTTTACATAGATGGTATATAACCCCACTCAAGTTACACCATATTTCTTCCACATATGATCTACACTGTTAGAGGGGTTTTAACCAAACAGGATTTTATTTATATTGCTGGTGGGAGTGTCCCTAGATTACCAAATATTGGGAGGACTTTCTTTATCTAATAAGGAATATAACAGGCTATGCTATCCCCCTACGGCCAGAAGTTATGCTACTTAATTTATGGGAGGGTATTAATATAGCTAGGGGGGCCACGGTGGCTCAGAGGTTAAGATGCTGAGCTGCAGATCAGAAGGTCTGTAGTTCGCCAATTCGAGACCCTAGTACCGCGTGACGGAGTGAGCTCCCATCTCTGGCCCCAGCTCCTGCCAACCTAGCAGTTCGAAAGCAAGAAATTGCAAGTAGTTAAATAGGTAGGGCTTCGGTGGGAAAGTAACAGTGTTCCGTGCACCTCGGCATTTAGTCATGCCAGCCACATGACCACGGAGAAGTCTTCGGACAGCGCTGGCTCTTCAGCTTGGAAATGGAGATGAGCACCGCCCCCTAGAGTCGGATTCGACTAGCTTTCGAGCAAGGGAAACCTTTACTATTAATATACCTACGATCCATAAGGAACTAATTTCAGTCATGTTAGTTGCAGCAAAATCGATTATCGTAAAACACTGGAAAGACAAAGAACATCCTTCATTACAATAAGTCATGGGAATACCTGGTTATGAATAAAATAATTGTATTTCATTGGCTGAAAATTTGAATTATCAGACTTCCTAGAAAGGTGGTTTTCTTGATTTTATAGAGAAAAAAGATAAGCTGAAAAAATTCCAGATAGCCTTAAACGTATTGCTATATATTAAGTTCTATAGTTTTTATTACAATAATAGTTAGTTTCCATACACTCTTTTGTTACTACTGTGTATTCATACCAAAATTGTTCTGTTTTTGTTTTTGGCAGGCCTCGGATCGGGCCGGAGCGTGCCAGTACGTCGCTCCGGGAGAGAGGGACCAGGGGGCGGGGCGGTCACATGGCGAAGCCCTGCCCCCTTCTTCCGGCTGCCCTCTGCTTCCAGCCTCATTCTGTTCCAGAACGAGGAAGAAGCAGGAGGGTAAGTCGGCTTCCTCCCCCCCCTCTGCCTGGCCGAGGTTGCTCCAGCAGCCTCCTAGGCCTCCAGGGCCAGCCCAGACCTTCCCGGAGGTGCATGAAGCTGCGCACCCTGGGAAAAATCCCCCCCCCATCTCTGCCTGGCCGAGCCTGTTCTCGGCAGCAGCTGCGACGCCCGCAGGGGAGGGGCGAAACGTTCTCCTGCCTCCCTGAGCCCCAGGGTGGTGGCCTTGGACTCATAGGGGCAAATCCCACCTCTCGCGAGAGGTCATTCTGGCTCTCCCAGCTGTCCTTAGGGGCTCTTTAAAAAGTTATGGCCGCCGCCGCCGCGGGGGAAGGGGGGTCTGCTGAGCTGCCCTCCCCACCTTTTTCAGGCTCCGCGCTGGAGTGCCAGGCCTGAAAAACAGGCCTGAAAAACAGGCCTGAAAAACAGCCTGCAGAGCCGCCACCCCCGCCCTCCCCTCCTTTTTCAGGCTCCTCGCTAGAACGCCAGGCCTGAAAAAGGGCCAGCCGAATGTCAATTTCGGCTCCATTATATCCTATGGGCCATTGAAGTCAATGGCAAAAACATAGGGTATATTCTGGGGGCTGGAGGGGAGGGGGTTTGAGGGAGAGGCTCCAACCTCACAGGGTAGCTGCCGGAGCCTCTCCCCAAGATACCAACCAAGTTTGAAGAACATTGGACCAGGGGATCCAATTCTATGGGCCCCGAAACAGGTTGCCCCTATCCCCTCCATTGTTCTCTATGGTGGGGGAAAAGTAACTTTTTTTCCCACCATAGAGAACAATGGAGGGGATGGGGGCAACCTGTTTGGGGGTCCGTAGAATTGGACCCCCTGGTTCAATGTTCCTGAAACATGGCGGGTATCTTGGGGAGAGTCTCCAGCAGCTACCCTGCGATTTTGTAGCCTCTCCCCCAAAGCTGGTTGAGTTGGGCATCGTTGCTTTTATATTCTATGAGTCAGTATAGGTTTTGGGTTATAAAAGGCTTTTATTCATTCTACTAAGTAATTTTTTAAATTAATAGCTTGGACCTCTCTTGTTTCTACATGCCGGCAATAATTGTTATAACATTATTCTAAGTTCCTAGCAGTGTTTTGTTGGTTCTTGATAATTAAGGGTTCTTTGTACATGCACAGAAGTTCTATCTTTTTAAACATGTTTTATCATTGTTTTGGGGTTGTTGTTTTTTTACAAATAATTAAGAGAAACAGTCAAAAGATATTACCTTTTTTCTTCTTTCATTTGTTGACATATGTGTAGATGCCCCTGAGGAAGCTTAACATGAAAAGCGTAGGGGTTATTAACATACTGGAATAATATTTTCCTCCCTCCGCACCATCGTTTTATCTTTGTCTCTTTGCTCCGTCTTGGAATATAAGCAGAGCCCTGCTAGGCCAGCCCAAAAGGCCTTCCAGACGACAGAGATCAGTTCCCCTAGAAGAAAATGGCTGCTCCAGAGGGTAGACTGTACAGCCTTATACTCGCTGAGGTCCTTCTCCTTCCCAAACCCCACTTTCCACAGGTTCCACCCCCAAAGCTCCAGGAATTTTTCCAACTTGGAGGTGGCACCCCTACCTAGCATCCTGTTTCCACCGGTGGTCAGCCCGCATAGCAAGGCTTTTAGGCCCGGTTCCTTCTTTTTTTTTTTCCCCCCCCCCCCCCCATTTGCTGCCTCTGTGCACGGAAGTTCTGCTTCTCTTTCGTTGCTCTCGGCAGTCCTATCCTCCATGACCTTTCCCCCTCCCTCTTTTCCCCCTTTCCCAGGTGGCCATGGTGGAAGTCCAGCTGGATGCCGACCACGACTACCCGCAAGGGCTCCTGATCGCGTTCAGCGCCTGCACGACGGTGCTGGTGGCGGTCCACCTCTTCGCCCTCATGGTCAGCACCTGCATCCTCCCCAACATCGAGGCCGTCAGCAACGTGCACAACCTGAACTCGGTCAAGGAGTCGCCCCACGAGCGCATGCACCGGCACATCGAGCTGGCCTGGGCCTTCTCCACGGTCATCGGGACTCTGCTCTTCCTGGCCGAGGTGGTCCTCCTCTGCTGGGTCAAGTTCCTCCCGCTGAAGAAGAAGTCCACCGGAGAGGTCGCCGAGGCCAACAATTCCAGCATCTCCCCCGGGGAGGCGGCCGCCATCGCCTCCACCACCATCATGGTGCCCTTTGGGCTGGTCTTCATCGTCTTCGCAGTCCACTTCTACAGGTCCCTGGTGAGCCACAAGACAGACCGGCAGTTCCAAGAACTGAACGAACTGGCCGAATTTGCCCGGCTTCAAGATCAGCTGGACCACAGAGGCGACGCCCTCCCGCCTCCTGGCAGCCATTTTGCATAAATAGCTGTGCGTTTTTGTTTTTTTAAAGCAATTATTTGTATCTTATTCTCTTGACTTGCCCGTGCATGAACTTGGCTAGACTCTGGTGATTTGTTTGGAAAGAGAGTGTAGAAGTACTGTGTCTTTTAGCCTTTTAGTGCTTTTCTGGGGGGAAAGAATACAATGCTCTGTACTTCTAACATCAGGAGGGCTAACCTCTGGGGGCACAGATGTTGGGAGCGGCATCTGAACGAAATGATCAGGGTGCTAGAGCGGCCTCCCTATGACGATCGGTTAGAACACTTAGGGCCACTTAGTTTAGAAAAAAGGAGAGTAAGGGGAGAAGTGATAGAGGTCTATGAAATTTTGCATGGTGTGGAGAGAGAGAAGGGGGACATAATACTAGAACCCCGGGGTCATCCGCTGAAGCCGAGGGGTAGGGGATTCAGGACAGAGAAAAAGGAAGTATTTCTTCACGTGGCCTATTGTTAGTTTGTGGAACTCACCGCCACAGGATGTGGTGATGGCCGCCAGCTTGGAGGGCTTTGAAAGGGGAGTGGACAAACTCATGGAGGACAGGGGCTATCGTTGGCTACTGGTCACGACGACCGCTAGCCAAAATGGATATCTGCGTCCTCCAGTACCAAAAGCCATATGTCTCTTTAAATCAGTCGCTGGGGAGCGCAGGTGGGAAGAGGCGGTTGTGGTCATCCTGCTTACGGGCTTACCAGAGGTAGCTGGCTGGCCACGGTGTGAACAGAAACGCTGGACTCGATGGACTCAGGGTCTAATCCAGCAGGGCTCTTCCTGTGTTCTTTTCTGCCTTGAAGCATGTATGCTCCCCTCCTGCCTCCTTTTCTCTGTGTTTTATCTCAAAAAGATAGATTCCAGGGCGTAGCCGTGTTGGTCTGCAGCAACAGGACAGAGTCTGAGTCCAGTGGCACCTTTAAGACCAACAAAGTTTCATTCTGGGCATCAGCTTTCCACCGGACTCAGATTTTGTTCTTCTGTTTCAAAAGTCAGTGATCCTAAGGCGAAATGGGCTGCCGTTGTGGGGAGAAGGAGGCACTTACTAGAGGCCCGTAGTAAAGCATTATAGTTGGTTCTTGGGTTAAATAACTGGGATTGGCTAGGATGCGTTCTTGTTTGTCGGATTCCCATCGCGCAACCTGGACTGGCCTGACTTGAACAGGTGCGCCATGCGTGTGGGGGGTTTGGCACCCGGCGTGTGCTGCGTTCTGTCCCGGTACATGGGAGTAGGTGACAGGGGTATTGCTGTGCATAGGGCATGTGCCACAGGCGCGCAGAAAGTAGTGGCATTGGCCGTGGATTCCAGCATCAAAAGAATCTCTGCTTTTTAAAAAGGCCTGTTCCTAGTCCCTCGGCCTGTGCAGAGAAGCCTGAAAGCTCATGGGCAGCCGCTGGCAATGTGTCGAAGGGCAGAGGAATTGCTGGATAAGATGTCTTCAGGTTAGAGCCTCCAACGCCCTTTCTGCCACCCTGATCCTCCCTCTGTCTGCAGACTAAGGGAAGCCAAGTCAATTGGCTTGATTTGTAGATGGACTTTCTCTCTGGCTTCTTTGGCGTCAAGACTTGGGTTCTCCTGGCCAAATGATTGTAAAGGTACGCAGCCCTGGATTCCTCCTGACCCAGACTATGTACCATTCATTTCTTTGTCTCTGCACCTTCAGTGCCTTGTACCACACGTGGGGCTTGGGAAATTGTGGGGCCAATGCTGACAGTTGTGCTGTGCTGGGGGAGGACCAGGCCTGTAGCTACAGCGGGGCATTTGGGGGGCTGGCCCCCTGACTTCCTGGCAAGCGCCCCCCCCCCAACTTCCATCCAGCCCCCTGGCTCTCCGGGCCACGTGGAGGACTCCCCACCACTGACCCTTCCCCAAGCATGGCTTGCTTCCCCGTGTAGGCAAGCAGAGGGAGCATGCCACAAAAGTGAGTTTTTAACATTTTTATTTTTATTTTATTCTTTATTTTGTGACGTCAGTGCCCCCCGACTTATTTAAAGGCCCCCTGAATTACAAAATCCTGGCCACGGGCCAGGGAAGGACTGCCACGAGAGTCAGGATCAGCTCCCTAGCCTTAAGCAATAACGTTTGGACGCTTCTTCCTTCCCATAGCCTCGTTCAGGCCTCGTTGCTTGAGAATTTCGGTGCGATGTCACTTCTTGGACCTCCACACCACGCCGCAGAACCAAAAGAGTCTGCTACTTTGTGAGTACATTAGAAGGCCCATTCTTCTTGGTGCCCATCAAGTGTTTGTAGAAAGCTGGGCAGGGTCAAGTTTGCCCTCAGGGTTTCTTATCGGACCCTGGAGATCTAATTGGCCAGCAGATCAGTTTGGATATTCGAAGCTGCCTTATACTGGATCAGACCCTCGGTCCATCAAAGTCAGTCTCGACTCAGACTGGCAGCAGCACTCCAGGGTCTCAGGCAGGGGTCCTTCACATCCCCGACGGCCTTTTAGCTGGAGATGCCGGGGATTGAACCTGGGACTTCTCTGCATGCCAGGCAGATGCTTTACCACTGAGCCGTGGCCCCTCCACACAGCACACGAAGCTGCCTTATACTGAATTCAGACCCTTGGCCTATCAAGCTCAGTCTCGTCCACTCAGACTGGCAGCGGCGCTCCAGGATCTCAGACAGAGGTCCTTCACTTCGCCTCCTGCTTGGTCCTTTTTAGCTGGAGATGCTGGGGATTGAACCCGGGACCTTCTATGTGCCAAGTGAATGCTTTGCTACTGAAGAAGAGATTGGATTTATACCCCACCCTTCACTACCCGAAGGAGTCTCAGAGCGGCTTACAATCTCCTTTCCCTTCCCCTCCCCGCAACAGACACCCTGCGGAGGTAGGTGGGGCTGAGAGAACAGCTCTGAGAGAATGGTGACTGACCCAAGGTCACCCAAATGGCTGCATGCGGAGGAGGAGTGGGGAATCAAACTCGGTTCTCCCAGATTAGAGTCCGCCGCTCTTAACCACTTCGCCAAACTGGTTCTCCATGGCCCCTCTCCAAAGTCCAGCTTTGGACTCTAGGTGGCAGGAATGGGAGAAAACATGGAGAGCTACAGCTGGTGCAGGGTGGTCTTCTGGGGCCAGATGTCAGAGCCTTGTGCTCTTGGCGTGCTGGGCTTAGTGTTGAGAGACTGACACGTTGTTGAGTTCGGCCTGGGAGTTTACCCCCAATTTTACGGCTGGAATGACTGCTGGATGTTGCCCCCGTCAGGTCTGACTCGTTTGCACTTTGAAACGGTCGTTTGGTATTATATTATTTCTGGAGTAGTTTTTACTGCTGTTCTGTCTGGGATACTTGAACCAACCAGTGTAGGTGACATAGAACCATTATTTATGTCTTCCGGTTATATCACTTCAGATGGTAATAAAGCGCTGTCTTCTCTTGGGGTCTGAAACGGTTGTTGCTTGGCTTCTTTCCCTCCCCCCGCCCCCCAGAAGCAGGAATAGAACATGGGTTTTGTTTTGTTTTTTTAAAAAAAGAATAACTTAATTAGGTTTGTATCCCCTTTTTATTGTGGAACCACCAATCATCTTTTCTGGTTTCTGATCAGTTTCACCTTTGCAGCGTTTTGGCAAGGCTATTTAATCAGGTGCCGCTAAGCTAACATTTTGCATTTCCCCCCAAGAGATAACAACAAAACAATGTAAGAGAAAACCATTCCGAGGCAGATGAATAAATTTAGGGGGGGGGGGGCCCTAAATAAAAATGGCGATCCTAGTACATTACTTTGGAAAGCCTTTAAAATTTGGTTCTTTCCCTGGTTTTAAACTCTTGATTGTTTAACTGTGTTGTGAAATGCTTTTTTTTTTTTTAATTCTGTTGATATTTTGTATTTTATTTGTAAGCCTGCCTTGAGCCCTTTTTGAAAGTGAACAGGCACTGTACAAATTGCCTAAATATGAATAGCCAATAACATACAAAGAGAGTAACTTTTTAAAAAAAAGATCCCCTTGAAATTCCGTACCAGCATCTTAACTCTTGGATGAGAAGAACTAATATAGTCCTTCCAGCCTAAGCAACCATTATTTAATATACTCTTTTTTATAGCTCTCTACCACCTGTGTGGATGTGTATATATATTATGAATAAATCAGATGAGACCCACCCAGCTGGGGCTGGGTTCAAATCCTCCTGCAAGCTAGCTGTGCAGTCTTGTTTCAGACAAAGTCCCTCCCCTGCTTGCTCAGACGTTATAGTCAGAATATTAAAGGTAATTACTCCCGGGACATTAGAAGAGTTTGAAGACTTTTGTGCGGAAATATTTATTCATAAAAGATAAAAATGTGTGAGGGTTGGGGGGGGGGTTGTCGCTTCACAATAGTAAAAAAAAAAAGCCAACACTGCTTCATTTCAGCGGTTGCTTACTTTAGTATAAACACTGTTTTACACTCAAGAGATCTTTTTGTGGAAGCCACTCTTGGAAGCTGGCTGGTGAAAGATTCTGGGGTGTAATTGAGTTGGAGGGCGTTTCTCTCTGTGTGTGTGTGTGTGTGTGTGTGTGTGTGTGTGTGTGTGTAGGGCTATTTTGGGGCAGGAACGCACAGGAACAGAGTTCTGACTGGCTTCAGAGTTGGCCTCGCCCACTACAGCCAAAACCTCTCCGTGCGTGGCTACAGAGGGGAAGGCCTGCAGAGTGACACACACACCCCGGCGACTGTGAGGCGGGCGGGCCAGGGGGCCCCATGAAAGGATTGGGGAGGCATTTAAATGCCTCCCTGTGCCTTCCTCAGCCTGTCCAAGGGCCGGCTTGCCCGGGCTCCCCACAGCCGCAAGGCACCTGGGCAAACCAAGGGAAGGCATGGGGGTGTGGCCTAATTAGTTTCTGCTGTTGGGTGTGGGTGTGGCCTATTATGCTGGGCTTTTTCTACAAAAAAAGCTCTGGTTCTCATGATCTGGGCTGTGCAAGTAAAGGCCTCCCCATGCCTTCCCCGGCCTGTCCAAGGGCTGGCTTGCCTGGGTGCCCCACAAGCCAAGGGAAGGCACGGGGGTGTGGCCTAATATGCTAATGAGCTGTGCTGTCAGGGGTGTGGCCTGATATACTAACGCGTTTCTGCTGTTGGGTGTGGCCTATTATGCTAATGAATGCCTGTTGGGCTTTTTCTACAAAAGAAGCTCTGTGTGTGTGTTACGGTGACCAGCTCTGGGCTGGGAACTACCTGGAGATTTTGGGGGTGGAGCCTAGAAGGGCAGGGGTTGGGGAGGGGAGGGGCTTCAGCAGGGTGTAGTGCCATGCAGTTCACTTTCCAAAGTGTTCTCCACAGGAGATTACTTGTCATACTGGGGGATCTCCAGTCACAACCTGGAGGTTGGCACCTTAGTGTGTGTTATAACAAGGAATTGTGCTTTGGGGGACATACTGGGGTTTCCTCCCCCCAGGATAGAAAGACATGGTTTAGACCTCCCCATCCTTAAACTACTGTGCATTTGTTAGGATCCTCAACATTCCTGGAAGTGTTTTGGAATTCTGTAACCGTGTGCATCTGTATAGCGCTTCCAAGTATTCAAAGTGCTTCATGTTAGACAACCTGGATCAATTTCTTCCAACAATCCTATAAAGTAGGCCAGTATTGCAAACTGGGGCGGGGGCTGAGGCAGAGAGAGGCTGCCTCAAGTTAGCGCTGCCTGGTGAGCTCATGGCAGAGACGAGAACTGAACTGGAAACCTTCCGGATCACAGGTCATTCTCTTAGCCACTACGTCTCAGCGGCTGTCGCCCTTGTAATAACATGCACATTTCTTCCATAAGTCCCCAGCTTTCATTGTTGCATGCATGCATTTGAAAATGCAGTGGCCACATTTTAAAAAATGTGGATGCAAGAGATGAAAAAGAGGCCTAAATGACATGCGTTGTTGCTTCGCTGGCATCCAGAGCTGACAAAAAAAACTTGAAATTCCTCAGTATTGTTCCCCCCCCCATATTTGGGACAGCTGT